TAGCAGTGGCTAGATTTGGAAGCTGGGCAGAGGCTGGGCAGAGCCAGAGGCTTTTTAGGTTGGAGCCACAGGGTCTGTGGTTCTGAACCAGGAGTCCTTTGACCTCCAGGGCAGTTCCATGTCCAGTGGCCTTGCTCTTGTCAGAACTGACAGAAGCAGGTGGCTGTCAGACAGCTGCTTGCCCAATGCCCTGGCTCCTCATAATGGAGATAGGTGCTGTTGGGGTGCACTGGCCTGATGGCAGATCACGGTGCAAAGCAGCCATTGATTGGCCCATTGCCTATCCTTATATTGCTCCTGCTGCTAGCTTGCTCCTCATTCTCCTGGTCTCTAATAAAGTAGACCATGGAGGCAGCGTCTACGATGTCAGTCAAGGGGGTGCTCAACCCAACCCTGACTTTTTTAAATTAATACCATCAGGTGAGATAGAGAACTATGGTCATGGGCAAATTTTGCCACTTGGTAAAAGTTAAAAGTAAAAACCATGTTATGACCGTGTCCATGAGGAAAACAATGACCTTTTAGGTAAGATCAACTGTGGTGACCTGTTTGCATACTTTGAGGTCATCAGTACAACTTCCTATCTTTCCCTCAATTTGGTTTAAAAGGGGAGTTTTGTCCATTTACCGTGTACACCAAAAAATCAAATTAGCTGTAACATTATTTTATAGTTTAACCTCTCAATATTTTGCTGTGCTGTTTGGTCCTCTACACTATGGCCAGGCATTATTACAGAAAAGGTCAGTCATCCCTTATAAGGTCTGGGGATCAAACCATACATCACAGTGGAGAGTCCTGCAGAACAGTATAACTTCCCTTCTGGAAGAGAAAAGAGGAGAAATGAGGCAGCAAGTTGGGTCTCTGGTTGCTTAGCCCAACTTCCTGGGCTTTAAGATTTAACTGGCATTTAACCAGTGCTTACTGCATAGCCTTATTTAGAAGAGAATTGGCAGACATCTCTGCCATCCTTTGGCTTCCAGATATTTACCATGTAGTCAGTGGGTTATGGGCCTCAGTTTCCGGGTTTAACTAGTCTTAGTGTAACCCATAAGTTTAGGTTTTTGGGCTTACAGGTTTTCACTGTGTAGCCTGTGGACACTAGAGCTTTCTTGGGCTCCTAGAACTCAGTTCTCTAGTATCTGCTGTATAACCATCTCCAGTCATCTCTAAGTCTCTTTTGGAACACTTTCTCCCTTTTGGCTAGACCTCCATTTGATCCATATTTGAACTAGCAATACATTTGAACTAGCAATGCCTGGTTATTCAGCGTTAGCTGGATGGAGACTTTGTCAGTCCCTCTTTAAAGGATCTGGCTTCTGAGCCAGAGACTGGAGCGGCTAGAAAGAAATATGTTTATAACTGAAGTTTAGCATCATTTCACATCTTGGCAACACCTTTAATCTAAATAGCCCAATCGGTTATTATCTCTGCAAGATGAGAGATATTTCTTTTGACATCTCCAGGGACCGCTCTGGAGATATCAAAAGTCCAGAGAATTAAGAACTTTGATTTTCAGAAAGTCTGTTAAAGGTGCCAAGAGAACTTAGAGTACCTGGTCAAAGTAGAATTCCTTAACATCCTGAAATGATAGCCATTCATTAAGTCAGGGCGATTTTAACACCGTTAGATCAGATCTAATCATAATGATATTTAAATAAATTTTACAACTTAATGCTTTTCATGTATCAGAACTTAACCAAGACATAGTACACAATAGATTACTTCGGCAGAATGCAGATTCTGTCTCTTATTGTCGAATAAGCCAGAAATTAAAAAAAAAAACTTGAAAATAAGAATTAATACATGAAATCACTGCATAACTTGGAAGGCAGCTATGCTCACCACTATACCACCAACGCTCACTGCATAACTTGGAACAATTTCACAGAGTCAAAAAGAGCTTTCAGGACCTAGAAATGGCACAGAGTAACCAATTAAACAGACACTGTTAAAAAGACACATTGCAGTTTTTACACAAGCAGATTTTAAGATTTACGTTTGAGCCATTTCCAGATATTTACTAATATTAATACACTTTTTTTTAAAAAAACTTCATTATTCTAACAGAAGATTGGACTTCAATTTTAGGTCAGTGTAACTTTGGTATTAACACTCAACTTGTAGAAAACTCCATAAACAATATTTTAAATTGTAAACCTTTCTTAAACTTTTTGTGACTTGATCACACCTTCTGAGACTTAGACCCATAGTTACTTTTACATAGTCTGGAATTGTCATGTATGGACAACCTATGAGAATACATGCTGACAAACTCGAACAGTCTCCCTTACAGTATTTAAGATGTTAAAAGTACACATAATACATTTTCCCATGTTTTACTTAGCAACAATGCCTAGATGACTTAAGACACTGAGATATGAATGAATACCACACCATTATCTGAATTATTTTTAAGGTCAAAATTATATTTCCATGCTTTATAAGTAACTAATAAGGATAACACCTCCTGAACAGCAAACATGGACACTAGTGCATGTTTACAACTTTGAAAAGATCTTCATCTTTAAAAGAAACAAGTTTAAAGCAGATCAAAGGCACATAAAACTGAGCAAGCAAACCAAGCAAACTGAAGGGCATTTGGATTAACCCAATTTTCTGAAGCAATCTGTATTGGCTTACTTTAGTTAACAACATAAAGGCTTGTATACACAGAATTTACTCTCATTTTTATAAGACCACTTTAGCTGGAAAGCAAAACATGAATACAACATAGGTCTGACATAGTTTATAACTTTTTAGTGTACTTTAAGTAATCTGAATTGACTCAAACAGCTTTACTTTAACAAATTCCAAGTCTTATCCTTTGAGAGTTCCAGGGATCTGACTGGAAGCCTCAAAGTTGGAAGACTCGATTTAGAACTTAAACTGTCAGAGAGTCAAACCGTTTAGCCAAAAATTAGTATGTTTAACCTGAGCATTTTAACCAAGGCTGTGGGCTAGATCTGATCAGAGTTAAGGTAATCACTCAAACATTACAAACAGACAAATAACGTAAACAACTTTGCATTGCAGTTCTCCCAACTAAGACGCAGTACTGCCAATAGAAAAACACGAAACCTGCAAGACACATGAAAGCTCTCATCAGCTAAGTTAGCTACAGCAGCACAGAAAAGCTGATTATCAGCCTGTGAGCCCATTGCTTAGGACAGGGAAACACATCACGAAACAAAGAGGCAGAGAATGAGGCTCCTGTGGGGCAGAAGCAAAAGTTTCCATCAACTGCAGAGAAAGGTCCATCCATGAGGTTGAAAGGGTTAGTGGGTTAAGGTTTCTTGCTCCCTTAGGTGGGGAAACCTGTGAGCCCAGCAGTAGCCTGAGGCATTTCCCCTCCCCACCTCCTAGTGAGGAGGGGTATTGGATTGGAAATAGAAGAAAAGCAGCCTTGAAGAGTGTTCATCTCTCACCAGAGATATCTGGCTGTGCCTGTGTGGGTGCAGCAGGCCATGCTGACTGGAAGAGAGTGCAGGGAAAGGCCATGGTGCCCCATTTACAGGGAAGACTGGACACGCCTGGGCCTAGCAGGATTGGCCATGTGGTTGGTTAGGTGCGCTGTTTCACCAAGAGTACCGGGAACCTCCTATAGCAAATCCTTCATAACACAACAGAAGTTCGCACCACCTAGTCTAATTAAAACAGCCATCAGGGTGAGATCTTAATCCATTCAACTTGAGTATTTCAACCAAAGGCAGATCCAATCAGGGCTACTGCAATCACTCAGTCAATTGAAAACAGACAGCTAACTTTAGCTCCTTTTCAGACTCAGTTCTCAGGCAATCAAAGCTTAGCAACAGCTATAGAAAGTGCACAAAATCTTTTTCAGACACATTTACTGGGTTTGAAAGGGTTACCTGATTAAGGTGTTTCCCTTCCTTAGGTGGAATTTCCCTCTCCCCTCCTAGTGGCCAGTGATATAGGAATGGAGATGGGGAGAAACAAAGAGAGGGGAGGAGACGGGGAGGAAGGAGGAAAGTGACAGAGGAAAAGATGTCAGCAAGTGCTCTCATCTCCTCAGAAATCTCTGGCTGTGCCCGTGAGGCATCTCAACTGATGGAGAGCCTAGGGAAAGGCACTGATGTCTGGGGCCTGAGTGGGTGTTTGAAATCTTGTCTGAATTTACCTGGAGGGCCTATATTAACCTCAACTGAAGCTAAGCCCTGCTTGCATAGCAGTAGGCAGTGTGACCAAGCATCCCTCCAAGAGAGAGGCAAGGTCAGGCCACCAGGAAGCTAAAGGGAGTTCTGGGGTCTCCAGGCTCTCTCCCAAATGCCCTTCCTATTTTCCCTCCCATTCCTTACAGTCCCTCTGGAGTTTCAGCCGTAGCTCAGCCGTGGCTGGGGGGACTCTTCGTTCTCAGAGATGTGGGGTGCTGGACGATCAACAGTCACTCCCACAGATCCGGTCCCACTTGAGGGGAGGAATACTGACCTTTGATGTCTTCTTAAAATCCCTTTGTGATTGCCAGAAACATTACCGGAGAAGCAAAGGGTCCTTGTCTTCGTGCAATAAAGAATTCAGGCATGAGACAGAGAGTAGTGGAAAGCAAAATAGCAAGGTTTATTAGGGTAGGGACATCTGTAAGAATGGATGGGCAGCTCTCCAGATAGGACCTGAGAGGGAGTGCCTAGTTCACATTTAGGCTGGGGTTTTTAAGGGGATGGGTTTTGCATTCCCTCCCCTTCCCCTTCTTTTCCTCCCAGAACAAAGGACTTGTTGGATGTAAGTATGAAAAATTCCCTTCTGAGCTTTTTCCCCTGAAGTTATCAGACAGGGGAAGCCTGGCTGGCATTGCCTCACCTTAGAGGAAGTATGTTTATTGGGTAGAAAGGGCAGGACCCCCTGGAAGGTCACCAGGATCCAGGCAGGACATTTGAAATGCAGAATCTGGGCTGCCCCTGGAAGGTTATCAGGATGACTTTGAGATGCAGATGCTGGACCACTGTAGATGTCAATTCCTTAGGTCTTTGTCACACACACATAAGCTCATTTCTGACTTCCTACCTAACATGTTGACATAGTGAAAGACAGGATGCTTGGTGCTCTCCTGTACTTTTCTGTAGTACACACTTCATTCCTAGCTCCAGTGCTGCTTGGTGCAGGGACCCTTCTTTCAATCCTCCTTCCACCTTCCACTTAGGACTGATTTTTTCCGTACAGCCTTTGTGTGCATTGATCCTACAGCTATCATGAAGCACTATGATTTCAGAGGCAGTACCCGCAGAAGTTTGCAGGGCTGGACCAGGCAGGAAAAAGGCATCCCTCAGAACAGTGGTCACAAGGCTGGATTGCCTCTGATGATTGGCAAATGGAAATGAGCCGGATTTCTAAGACATTTTGCACTGCCACCAAGCAGAAAGTAGGAACTCAAGACCAAGGAAAAAGTCTGATTTTAAATTCGTTATTGCTACATTAATTTCAGATCTACAGAAAACTACAATACATAATTAATGCCCATACATCCTTTGCCCAGACTCACCCATGTTACTGTGTTACCCTTTTTCCTTCTTCCTCTCTATCTTCCTCATCAGGTGCACATTTCTTGACCTCTCTCTTCCAAAGAGGTTATTATTTGTTTCCTAACAATATGAATATCTTCCCACTGGATTGGAAATACTACACCAATACAATGCCATCATACGAGGATTTTGAATACACAAGGAGTATAAATGAAAAGCTTCCATGAACAAGGAAACAGTTCTTCAAAAATGGGTGACTATTACATGAAAATTGATTCTATAAGATCCTGAGGAATAACATCAGAAGTGGGATGCTACACATCCACTTGTGGAGAGAAGGAAAAGAAGCCGTTAGTGTGCCAATTCCCTACTGAACTACTTCCTGCATGACAGCACTCACTCAGCGTTTTCCTCAGAGCCCTGGTAACATCCTTGTTCCTAAAACTGTAGATTAAAGGGTTCAACCCAGGAGTGATTATGGTGTAAAATACAGACACCACCATGTCCTTCTCGGGGGTGTGGTAGGAGCTGGGGAGCATGTAGCTATAGATGGCAGTCCCGTACAAGAGAACGACCACAGTCATATGGGAGGAGCAGGTGGCAAAGGCCTTCTTCCTGCCCTCTGTTGAGTTCATCCTGTGGACGGTGAAGAGGATGAAGGAATAAGAGCTTGAAATAATTGTCACAGGGATGAGGAGCATGAGGACACAGCACAGGTACATGAGGCTCTCGTACAGGGAAGTGTCCGAGCAGGAGAGCTTGATGACGGCAGGGACCTCACAGAAGTAGTGATGGATCTCATGCGACCTGCAGAAGGGGAAGGTCATGGTGATGGGAGTGAGCATGAAGCCATCCACTGACCCCAGGAACCAGCAGCCAGAAGCCAGGAGGAGACACACCCTGTGGTTCATGAGGACAGGGTACCGGAGAGGATGGCAGATGGCCACAAAGCGGTCGTAGGCCATGGCAGCCAGAAGGAAGCATTCTGAACCACCTACAGTCAAGTAGAGGAACATCTGCACCCCACATTCAGGGGCTGAGATCTTGTTCATTCCCCTGACCTGGCCCATGAGCATCCTGGGCACAGTGACGCAGATGTACACCGTGTCCATGAGGGACAACTGGCTGATGAAAAAGTACATGGCCGTGTGAAGGTGGGCATTGGAGTGTATCAGCAGGATGAGCACAGTGTTTCCAGACAAGGCCATCAGGAAAACCACAAAAATGACCATGCAGAGAAGAGCAGGGTGTTGGGATTGATGGAAGAGTCCCACAAAGATGAAATACAGCTGCCCTGGGTGGGCGGCCATCCAGGTGGTGTTATCCATGAGGTCTCACCCCAGGGAAAGCTTCAGGGTTGATGAGATGCAGTCCCCTGCAGTGAATGCATAGGGTATGGCTGGGTGTGAAGGCACCAACCTAAGTGTACTTAACCAGATGACTTCCTCCACACCTGTAGAGCTGCAGAACATAAACTGCCTGTAATTCAATGGTTTCTTTTTAGAAAAGTAACCACCCACAATGATGAGCCAGAAGCATCCTGAATTATGCTGAGGTTGCCACAGTGCGAGGTCACAGGCGTGCTAACGGCAGACAGTGTCAGTGACCAGCAGGTTGGAAGTGGGCTGAGCCATGGCCTGTGCTGTCACAAACACAGAATAAACAGAACCAAACTCCCTTTCCTAGGGTTTTTGCCATTGAACTAAGATTCAACCTATCTGGTTTAAAGATCGAACTGGGATCTAAAAATCTCCCAGGTATATATTCCAGATAAGAAGGACTGACAGAGTCACTGAGACAATCTCGGGCAAACCCTGATGCCACAACGGAGCCTCCTCAGTCCCAAGGACTGGGCAGCCCCGGGAGTTTCTGCAGCTGTGGCTAGTGAGGCTCATGGAACCAGGAGCTGGGCCAGTCCTCACATGGGAATCACTCCAAGGACCCGAGGGACATGGGGCAGCCACGGAATGGCCAGCCCTCAGCCCACCAACCACTTACCTGGGTGTAGACATAATTCCTGACCTCAGTATACTGAGGATTAAGTGAGGTAAAGTGGTGGGAGTTCTTAGCATCGTGCTGGTTATAGGTAATTAACACACACCCCATCTGTTTACACGGCAGCCTGTCTACACCACAGAACCTACCTGAGAGGACAGTTAGTGTGTTGTCTTGTGAGACACGTCACTGCAGCCTCCAATTTTAGTACCTGCTTGGACACATAAGATTTTGTTTTCAGAAATAAGATGGGAAAATATCTGCAAATAAGTAAATACAGCATACGACCCATTTGAAAAAAAGAATTTGGGTTTGTTAATATGTGTCTATGTATATATGTGAATTTACTTACTCCATGTAAACGTAAATTTTAAATGCATATTTCCAGAACACATACAAGTGTTTGTAAATATGTTATCACTGGCTTAACTCTGGCTAAGCCCAATTGTATGGAGAATTGCATCTCTTCTTTCCAATATGAGGGGTCCTCTACAAGTTCATGGAACAAGCGTGTTGTGAAAGACTAAGCACGCATTGGAAAACTGCTTTGCACCGAAATAAAGCCATCTTTAAATTCCATTTTCCAGTGAATTTTCCAAGTGCTTGTTCTTCACAGGAGCTGTGACCGTTTGCACTGAGTCTTGGGGGAAGAGCCAGCACTTAGAGGGTCCCTGCTACTCACCACTCTGTGCCTGCAGATGCCACCTGCCGCATCCCTGCCACAGCCCATCACTCCTGGAAGCAGAGATGCAGAGAGGAAACCCAAACCACCCTGGGACGTCTCCAGCCCCAGGCTTGCTGCTCCTCCTCCCCGTGCCTGCCTCTATGTTAGATGCTAAAGACAGATCTGGGACAAACTGAAACTCATGGCTCTGAAGGAGGCCACCGTCATTCTATTCAGGAAAAATTATATAAACACATTAAAGGTAGAATTTTTAAACAGATACAAAATGAAATTAAAATTAGCAATGGACACATAATGCATTGGGCTGTTCTGAAGAGAATCAATCATAACTTCTTCCACAGTGTCTCTTAAGGAGAGAAAACCTTCTCAAGTTTTTCATTTCTGACAGAGTATATGTTAAATTTGAGTAGTTCCTCTTTCTGGGAAGATCTCAGCCATATTACGATTCAGCATTATTTCAGAAACAACTCTTGTAATAACCAATTCCAGGGGCTAATTATTCCATTCAGCACTATAGCAGCCCCAGGTTCTGCAGTGCTGGTGACACAGACAGCACTGTTAGTGAATCTGATGCCTTGGCGTGGACTCTGGCACATCTGAGACTCACGGCATCACCAGCACTCACGTATGTGCTGCAGTGATTCCTCTATAAGACTGTTGAGGAGGGCCCAGTGCTGTAGCAAACAAGTGGATCCGCCACCTGCGGTGCCCACATCCCATATGGGTGACAGTTCAAGACCCAGCTGCTCCACTTCCAATCAGGCTATCTGCTGTGGCCTGGGAGGGCAGTAGGAGATGGCCCGAATCCTTGGGCCCCTGCACAGGTGTGGGAGACCCAGAGGATGCTCCTGGCTCTTGGCTTCAGGTCGACTCAGTTCTGGCCATTGCTGCCTGTTGGGGAGTGAACCAGCAGATGGAGGACCATTCTCTCTGTGTCTCTGCTTCTCCTTCTCTCTTCTTGTAGTTCTGACTTTCAAACAAATAAATCCTAAAAAAAAATAAATAAACAAAAATAAACTGTTGATGAGAAAGGGCTTTTACTCCACAAAAACAGGTGATAGGGAATACACGAGGAAGCACCATCAAGAGCCAGCAGAATGTGGAGCAAGTCAAGAGTGGCAACACCTTGCTCCTGCAGCACTGCCTGCCCATCTGGTTGAGCTCACTTAGAGGGTGTCTTGAGCCTCATCTGCAGCCTCACAGAGCCAGGCTGGACCAAATGCACAACAGAAGTGGGAAAGTGACATCACCCTGTTTGTGCCCGTTGCAGGAGTGGATGAAGGTTTTCTGTTAATAAGCAACCTCTGGGGCTTTGGAGAGCAGTGCAATTAGAAGAGCCAGTGGTGCTCACAGATCCCTGTCTTTCTTCACTTTCTCAGAGTCTTACCTGATTGTAGCAGTAATCTCTAATCTCGCCATCACCAACAAGGTCCGACTGATGAAATCTGCGAGTTCCTTAACACATGGCCTTCACCTGCTGTACTTTACAGAAATACTCCCCGTGTGCATGTGTGTATGTGCATGTGTGTGTATGCATGTGTGCATGTGAGTAGCCTCATTTCATCTTCAAGAAGATTTTACAAGATCCTGTTATTTTTCTTCTTATCTTTACAAGTACCAAATCTGAATCTCAGCGTTCAACTGATGTGTCAAAGACACCTCGTCCGTATCGTGGTCAAGTTGAAACCTGAGGACCTCTCCTCCATGCCATCATTTTTTTCCTCTTAAGGTTGCTGATTATACTCTGCTTCTCTCTGTCACTTGTTTGCCATCTATGTCACTTTAATTTTAAATTTAAAGCATTTGTTTTTATTTTAAATACTGACATGAAATGACTTTTAAAAATCTTGAAAGTACAAACTTATCCAGTGAAAATTTTTAAACCATAATGCAGGGGCTGGTGCTGTGGTGTAGCAGGTAAAGCTGCCACCTGCAGTGCAGGCATCCCATATGAATGCTGGCTCAAGGCCTAGCTGTTCCACTTTCTATCCATCTCTCTGCCTTGGCCTGGGAAAGCAGTGGAAGATGGTCCAAGTCCTTGGGGTCCTGCACCCACATGGGAGACCTGGAAGAAGCTCCAGGATCCTGGCTTTGGATCAGCTCAGCTCCGGCTGTTATGGCCATTTGGGAAGTAAGCCAGTGGATGGAAGACCTTTCTCTCTCTCTGCAAGTCTGCCTTTGAAATAAATAAAATTAAAAAAAAAAAGTTAGAAAAAAAGAAAAAACCATAATGCAATCACCTAGTTAAAAAAAAGTTCTAGAAACTGTATCGTGCCTTCAACATACGAATATTTATTGACCATACAGAGTGTACCAGGCAATTAGGACCAGACAGGAAGGCAGAAGGAAGCAACCGCTCTCTTGTCCTCACTGCTTTGCCACGTGGTCTCCCACAGGGCTCTGAGGGACATTGGACAGTGGGAAGAAGAAAGGAATTGTGTCTTTTTTTTCACTTGTGGTGATGGTGTCTGGCAGCTGTGGCAGTGGTAGGCAATGCTCAAGACTGCAGCCACCACAGCCTGAAGGCAGCTTCCGCAGCACGTTTGGTTCTAGGTGTCGGGGTCACTGGGTCACCACCTGTGACCCGAGCAGGTGGAGCGGCAGCAGCCAGGAGAGCAGAGTGTTCACCAGCTCAGCAGGAAGGGCCTCACGTAGCTCCAGGTAACCATCCTGCTCCTTGGGTGACAGCACTGCTCCATCCCAGGTCCCAGCCTTGCCTCCAGCCCTTGGCTGCCTTTGTAACCACCCACCCTCATCAACCCTCTCCCGTTGAAGCACATAGTGTTTGCATGGGAGTGGACACTCAGAAGGCTAACACTAAACCATCGATTCCACCACAGTTGCAACCCTTCCCTTGGAGAGAACAGTTATGTGTGTTCAAATCTACAATTATGCATTATGAAAAATTATGCATGGATTTCAAAATGTTTTCACCAAAACCTCCATTTTAATATCTTTTTTCCATGAACTTTTTGGAGTATCCTTATATTTCCTAATAGCAAGGCTAGCCCGTGAGGATAACAATGTAACAGCTAACAAATTTGCAGAATTAAAAAATTGTGATGTTACTTTTACTAATCTGCAATTTCTATTCCAGTTTTGTTAAATTCTCAACATTGCCCTTTATATAAGTTTTATTCCCGTTAAGTGATTTCAGCCCAGGATCTTATACCGCATTTAGCTTTATAGTTCAGTATCCTTTAATTTAATGGCTGGAAGTGTTTGCTTTTCATGACATTGGTATTTTTGAGGAACAGGGGTCAACAGCTTTCTAGAATCCTCAGTTTTCATGGATTCTCCTCTTGGTTAAATTACCTCTCTGTGGTTGGACTGGAAGGCACCAACAGTGGCATCATAGATGGAGGAAGCTGAATCTTATTTCCCTCCCTGTGGGTGGTAAGTCTGATTCCCTGGCTAAGGTTATACACATTTCCCTACTTTATCATTACTATTTTTCCTCTCCAATTAATAGCAAGTACATGGAGAAACAGTATTTTTAAAGTTTTTTGGAAGATTTTATTTATTATTTATTTGAGAGGCAGAGCTACAGTCGGTGAGAGGGAGAGACAGAGTAAGATCTCCCATCTTCTGGTTCACTCCCCAAATGGCCACAACAGCTGGAGCTGGGTGGATCTGAAGCCAGGAGCCAGGAGCTTCTTCTGGGTCTCCCACACAGGTGCAGGAGCCCAAGCACCTGGGCCATCGTCTACTGCTTTTCCCAGGCCACAGCAGAGTGCTGGATCAGAAGTGGAGCAGCCGGGACTAAAACCAGTGCCCATATGGGATGCAGGTGCCGCAGGCAGAGGATTAACCTGCTGCACCACAGCACTGACCCCGGAGAAACAGTATTGATTACATTTGCATGATAAGCCACCCTATTCCACCACATGAAAAACATTTGATCTTTTAGGTCTATTCTATGTACAGTCACGAGGGAGATTATTAAAAAATCTCCCCTTCCTGCTGTGCCCTTGTTAGGCTTTGTTGTGCTGGATGTGTCACCAGGAGCTCAGTGTGTCTCCTCAAAGCTGAACACTGCACTAGTGTGTGGCTTTGCAAGTTTCTTGCCAGAAGTGGCCTATAGTTTCCAGTTACCTGTAGCTAGGCCAAGCCTACTAACAGGTGAGAGGTGTGCTCACCTTGAGGGCCATTCTGACTCAAGCCACTCTTCCATGGGAGGAAGCAGGTCCCTGAGCTCCATTTCAGGACAGCATGGTCTCTGATTGTGCATCTCTGGAAAAGGATGTGTCCTTCTGACGTCTTGCCTCTCTTGAGCTCCACCAGCAGATGGCACCTGGCTGCCTAGGGGACACTAAGTGACCTCATGTTGGTGCGGAGGGACATGGTGTTTCTGACATAAGCAGGGACCCTGGACCTCAGTGAGACCCTGCAGAGCCAAGTCCATTGTTTGGTGATGAATCTGCTGGGTGGAGTTCACTGGTGTCCTCTGATGCTCGGGAAATCTGTGAGCACTCACCTGCTGCCACAGATCCCAGCCATCTGTCCCAGGGATGCCCACCTGCCACCTGGAAGCAGTCCTAGGTAACACCCTGGTGAACACAGCATGGTCCAGAGTGGACACCAAGCTCCTTGATCCCTTACTTCAAGCCTGCTATGTCCTGCATCTACTTAAATCAACTCAGGCTCTATTATGAGCCCCGTAATCTACACCTGCCATATCTGGATCATTCATTCTACATTGTCTGTACCCTGGGTCCCTCACTCTACACCTGCCATGTCCTGGGTCCCTCACTCTACACCTGCTGTATCCTGGGTCCCTCACACTGCACCTGCCATGTCCTGGGCCCCTCACTCTACACCTGCTGTGTCCTGGGTCCCTCACTCAGTCCATCAAGCTACACACAGATGTATCATGGCTCCTTCAGTCTATGCACTATTCTGGGTCCTTCACTCTACACATACTGTATCCTCAGTCCCTCATTCTATACCTGCAGTATCATGGGTCTTTGATTCTACACCGGTTGTTTCCTGGGCCTCTCCGTGTACACCTGCTGTACTCTGGATCACTCACTCTATACCTACTGTTCTGGAGCCTGCACTCTACACCTGATGCATCCTGTTTGCTTCACTCTACA